ACTTAAAATTTTGGGGTGAATTTGATTATGAATGAATTTTCAGATGACTTTTTTTTTTTTTTTTTTTCACTTAACCATCGAATTGTGGTAATTGCCTGACGAAATATTAATTAATGGACTGGTGAATGATATTGTTCCATCGGGCAATGTTAAGTTTTGGGGCCAATTTGATTTTAAAACGAAATTTTAGGCGGCCTTTTTTTACTTTAACCGACATATTATATACATTCTTCCGTTAGGCAAAGATTAAAAAAAAAGTGTGAGTTGTGGGAAGGTTCATAGTGATGAGTTTGCTTTTTAAGGATATCATAGTGTGTGGATGAACAATCTAGATGTAATCTGAGGTGAGATAATTGTGGGAGTTTGCATCAGCTATAAGATTTGGAATGATATTATTATAGCTATAAGTTTGAAAAAAATATGGTCGTCTTGTAAACTAGCTGAGAACTTTCTCTGTATCAATAAATATGATGACCAAATGATACTTTAAACCTTTACATGTGGAAGAATAATAGAAATATTGAAGAGTATTAATGATAGCGTTATATTGGATGACAAAAATTTAGTTGATATCATGTACAAAACCAACCTACATTTGATACCGTACATGATTTCAGCTTAAGTTTTGTCTTCCAATATGGCTTTATTACTTATATTCCTCAATACTCTGTTATTCTTCCACTTGGAAGTCATTAGATTAACTTCTAGTCACCACATTCACCGACACAGACAAATTACTTGACTAGCCTACACGACAAGCCTTACTTCCTTTCAAACCACTAGTTATAATATTATAATTCAAATATTAAAGCAACTACGAATGCCTATAATTAACTCATCAAAAATTACATCTAAATCGCTCTTCCACACACTCCGATATCCTTAAAAACAACCCTGTCACTCCACACCCTCTCACCACTCACATGATTTTTTTTTCCACCACTCCCACAGATTCTATATATGAAACTAGTATATATATGAAGAGAGCAACATACTGATGAGAAAGATAAAGAGAAAGGAAGTTATTTATAGTGGATGAATAAGCGAACTTCCGTCGGCTAATTACTGCGTTAGTAGATTTTGTCCCCATGTGAGGTGGATATTTGTGACACATCGAAAAAACAATTGGACTTTTGACCAATTAGGCTTTACGCTATGGAACTTTCGGGCAAGTTTTATGTCGGTAAACTCCTCAGGCCCGTGACCGGATGTCTGTGCACATTGGAAAATTAAATTTGACCTATAATCTATTACCCAACGAAGGTTCGTCGGGCAATACCTATGTTAGTGTATTCCCCTGCCCCTGACTGGATATCTGTGACACATCGGAAAAATAATTATGACCTGTTAGATTTTACTTGACAAAAGTTCATAAGGTAAACCTATGTAGTGGATTCATGCCAGTGATGGCCATTTGTGCCACTTTGTAAAAATGAGTTGGAAACTTTTGACCAATAGATAAAAACTGACGAAATTCTATCGGGTAAACCCTCTACCAGTACATTCCCAACACAAGTGTTTGGCTTTACCTGTGGCTTTATGTGACAATTGGAAATTGGAATTGCATATTTGTGACACTTCGAAAATTATATTTTCCTTATTCCTATCGAATTAGATACCATATATGAATATAATTGGTAAAACTAATTTTGTAGAGTTTGTTTCGACAAATGGATCTCATAATTAACACGTGGTCTTTTTTTAATACATATTTTCATTAATTGGAATGCAAATTTTCATGAACAAAAGCTCAGCCATATTGTTTACATCTTTACAATCCATAACAAAATATTGAAAATATAGAAAAATTCACATGAGATATACTCTGATTTCAGCTATTGCTTATGTATTGAAAAGTTATAAAATATACCAAACATTTAAAATCAAAGCTCGACCGTGAAACACTTTTAAATCCAATTCCACCTGAGCTTTACAAACAGTGCTGAGCTTTTTTTTTCTTGAACGGCCTAGCCATAGGATTTAGGGCTTTTCGCCCATTACGGTAGTATCCTCTCCTTGTTCTTCCACATGCAAGAAATCTGAGCAACATTTGTTCACCACCTTCTTGGACCTTACGTTGGTATCATCACCATGTTCTTGCACATTACGGTAGTATCCTCTCTATGTACTCCGTAGACACCCCGACCACAATAGGCATGCCTTTGCTAATGCCCTTTTTCATAAACTTGTGCAAACTTGGTTAGCGGGTAAATTGGTGTTGAACCGAAGAAGAATGAGAAAAAGGAGAAAGATGAATAGGAGGGCACCAAGTATAAAGAGGAGAATGAATGTATGGAGGAGAAAAAGAAAGGGGAAGACACAAACTTATAAACTGATGAATAGATCTTTGCACGACGAACTACTTCGTTGGGCAACTCTTAGGAAAGGGTCGAGCAAATTCCATGCTGGTTGAATTTATTACACGTCACTTGTGGACTTTTAACCATCGATAGTAGAGATGTCTAACAGAGTTATTTGTCGGGTAAGTTTATCCTACACGAATGGTGATTTCATCGGTTAAAAAATTCCCCTCTTCACGTCAAAAGTTTTCCCGACGACATGTTTCTTAACCTACGAAAGGTGTTCATCGCTTAAATGCTTTCAGTTGACCTAATATGTTGACTAATTTTGCCCTACTAACAAAATTATCCGTTGGGCAAATACATTTCAATCGGTCTGTCGGGTAAGATTTAGTAGGGCAAGCCATAATTTCTAGTAGTGATGGTGATATCACTTGTAATAAAAAAAAATGAAGGAAAGAGGATGGGGTTTGAATTTTCGACGGTGATCAAATAGATGAGAAATTGAGAGTTAGGAGACTTTTGCGGGGCGGGGGGGGCCGGGGGGGGGGGGGGGGGGGGGGGGCTGTGGGGTTGGGTTTGATATGCATTCATTTGAACTTCCCAAACCAAAAGTCTCGTTGTGATGCATCATTTTCTCTGTGTCGTGTTCTTGAAAACGAGTACTCAGTTGGAGTATTTAATCAGCAATTTATATTGGCAGACATTTTTGGTTCAATTTTGCAGATGGAGGTTGTTGATACCATCTTTTTTCCAAAATAGGGAAGCACAAAACAGAATCCAAATGAATCAAAGGACTTTATTGTAGCATTGTATTTTGCAACCAATGCCACATGCATTCTACCGACCTCACAGAAGGGGAAAAGTTGAAAAAACATACACATGCATAAATCTTTGTCATCCTATATAATTTTCCTTTTCTTTTTTCCGAAATGTTCACAAAGTCAGTCTCAATTGGTGACATATAGGTAGACTTGTATACTAATAGAACATTTATTTACCATAGTATTATTGACAACATCTCTCACGCGCTTATAAAACTGGGTTATACGTAGATTGATCTCACGTACGAAACTTGGGTATATAGACGGACCATACAAAAATTTCATGGTATATAATATTTATAAATTCAAGTGAGTTTCACCATTAACAGCATCAATTCTCGATGTGAGATTCATTTTTATAGACAGGTCTACATAAATCTCATTAATTACTATGAATATCGGGTTTAGGGTTTTAATGATTTTTTATTTTTTTAATTTTATTATACAAGAAATAATCTACACTAAATTATCTAAATTATGAAAAGGAGGAATCGAACTTAAATAGTGTTCAAGCTACTTTTTGGCATGCCAATTTGTTGGATAATTCCTTAATTGAAGTTTTAAACATTCCAAATGCTTTGGGTAAAACTTTGCATGCACGGGTCTCCAATTTTATTATTGATGGGAATTGGATATGTCCTGCCTCTCTCCATGATAGTTTACATCTTATTTGGAGTCAAATTTGTTCTATTTGTTTGCCTAAGACTACTGAAATTAATGATACTTTGATTTGGACTGATTCTTCTGATGGTCATCTCATGCTTTCTCGTGCGTATGATATTAAACGAAGCAAGCAACCTTTGGTGGTTTGGAACTGTTGGGTTTGGAATTCTTGTTTTCGTCCTAGAAATTCTCTTTTTCTACGGAAATTCATGCATGGGAAAATTGTTACAGATTCTTTATTACAGGGTAGAGGTTTTGCTCTTCCCTCCATGTGTTCCCTTTGTGGCTCAAATGTGGAAACTCCGAGACATTTGTTTTTTGAATGTTCTTTCTCACGTCATGTTTGGCCTTCATGTTTAATTTGGTTTGGGGTGATCTCTACCTTTGATGATATTATGACCTTCACTTATCCTATTTGCAAAGGCTATGGCTCTCATATTCAACTTCTATGGTGGGGTTTAATTGGAGCCTGTTTATATTGTCTATGGACAACACGTAATAAGCTTCGTTTTGACGATATTCGACCTTCCATTACTGCTATTGTTTGCTCAATTAATTTTCAACTCCTTGAAATTGATTCGCTGAGCAAGGGAAACATGAAAAATTCTATGGAAGAACTTTGTATTCTTCGCATTATTGGTTTGTCTGGTCGTCCTGCCAAGTCACCTCATGTTTCCCTGGCATTTGAGGGTTCGTTGGTTGAATTGTAGAGCGTTGCTCTCTTCTATGTGCATAAAAGTTACACATATTTTTCGCGAAGGGAATTAGGTGGTTGATTGTTTGGCAAATTTTGGAGTGGACCATCCTGGGGTTTATTGGTGAGACTCTTGTCCTCCTTGTGCTATTGCTGCGTATCATCATAATCTTTCTCTTGGCCCCAGTTATCGATTTTGTTAGGATGGGTTTTACCTTGGTTTTTTTTTTTTGTAACTGAATTTTCGTGTCTCAAGCAGTTTTCTACTTCTTGTTAGGGTTTGGCTTCAAAAGTTGTTTTTAGTGGGTATTGACCTAGCTCCCCCGCTTGTATTACTTTTCCATTTTTTCTTCTTAATAAAATCTAGTATAGAGGGGACGGGCGGGGGCTTTCTGGGTGCAACGGTCATTTCTCATTCGGGAGAGGGTTCATGCCTCGCACGTGACTGTTGATGAAGAGCTAATCTCGCCTAATCCGTCTCTACAACCAAACAAAAAAAAAAAAAAAAAAAAAAAAAAACTTCGCTAAGCCCATGTCTACAATTCTTGTAGTGATGTTATAATCTTATACTATAAAACTCAAGAGATTGCTAAAAGCAAGTTTGTACCAAAATATGGGATCCATTTGCATATGGTTCCTAGATTTGAATATCAACAATCGTAATTATTAACTGTGGTATAAATACGTTTCTCATATGGAGGCGGCAGAGAAAGAGCTATAACTATAAATTAACCCAAAGGAGACTAGAGCTAGTTAGGTGCAAAACCAAAAAAATGGATTCTCAAGCCGAACCCAAGCTTGAAATTTTCTTTTTTCCTTACATACTTGGTGGTCACTTGATCCCCATGATAGACCTAGCCAGACTCTTCGCTTCTCATGGCGTGAAGGCCACCATTGTCACAACCCCTCACAATGTCATCCTCTTCCAAAACCCCATCCTCAGAGACCAACAACTAGGCTATGATATCGGCTTCCTCACCTTAAATTTCCCGGCTGAAGAGTTTGGTCTCCCGAACGGTTGCGAAAACGAACTCACAACCACTAATGGAGACATGTTCACCAAACTCTTCATGGCTGCCATGAAGCTCCAAGACCCTCTTGGGAGGCTCCTTAGCCAGACCCGACCGGACTGTCTTATCTCGGACAGACTTTATCCTTGGACTGCAGATGTCACTGACGGGCTTGGAATCCCTAGGGTTGTGTTTGATGGGAGTGGCAGCTTCTCTCACTGTGTGGAGGAAAGTCTCAGACGGTATGCTCCACATGAGAAAGTTGTGTCTGAAACTGAGGCTTTTCTCGTGCCCGGCCTACCCAACCAAATCGAGCTCAAAAGGTCAATGCTGCCGGATTATGTCAAAGCCGAAAATGTGTTCACTCATTTTCTCAATGAGGCTCTAGAGTGTGAGATTAAAAGCTATGGGATTGTGGTGAACAGCTTCTACGAGCTAGAACAAGCTTATGCTGATTACTTTCAGAAGGATATGAAGAGGAAAATATGGCACATAGGGCCGGTCTCAATGTACAACCGGACCAACATCGACAAGGTCGAAAGAGGCATCAAAACCTCCATTGATGAGCATAGTTGTTTGAGTTGGCTTGATTCAAGAGAACCCAACTCAGTTCTTTACATAAGCTTTGGAAGCATGCCAAGAATCACTTCAGCTCAGCTTTTGGAAATTGCTCATGGGCTTGAAGCTTCCAACCACCCTTTCATTTGGGTGATTGGGAGGATTTTAGACTACTCATCAAAAGAGAAGCAACAAGTGGAAAGTGTTGTGCTTCCTGTGGGATTCGAAGAAAGGATTACGAAATCGAAAAGAGGGCTTATGATAAGAGGCTGGGCTCCTCAGCTTTTGATTTTAGAACACCCAGCTGTTGGTGCTTATATGAACCATTGTGGGTGGAACTCCATCATTGAAGGTGTAACAGCTGGTGTGCCAATGATCACATGGCCTTTCTCCTCGGAGCAGTTCTACAATGAGAGGTTCATTCTCAATGTCATAAGGGTTGGGATTTCAATGGGGAATGAGGACTGGGTTCCACTGAACGAGCTGCCTAGGGTGAACATAAAGAGGGACAAGGTTGCCCATGTTGTGAACAGACTAATGGGATGTGGAGAAGATGAAGTGGTTGACATGAGAAAGAGAGCAGAAGAGTTCAGAGACAAAGCCATGAAAGCTTTTGAAAAAGGTGGCTCTTCTCATTCCAATGTTCATGCCTTCATTGCCGAGCTCAAGTCTTGCCGGAAAATTAGTCAAAATGGTCATTAGTTTGTAAAGAAGGTCGAGATTTCATTCTAAATTCAGGAAAGTAGCTATTGGAGTTCGGGTCAAGGTTCAAAACTAGGGCTTGTCGTATTGCAACTCCACATTTTCTATTTTATGTTTTTTTTTTTGTTACTTTCCCTTGTATTCTATGTGAATTGTAAGAGCAGGGCTTTTAACTTTTTTTATTTCGGCAGCATTGATCAATACATGTCTAAGTGTAATCAGCAATTTGGGTCTTTAAATTATCTTGTTTTCAGAAGAGTCGGGCCATTTTATCCTTTTGAAAGGAGGTGGCCACTTTGGTACCGTTTGGCAGGCAAATAATTGGCGAATGGGATGGTACGAAGTTGTTTCGTTGTCATCATTCAATCATTAATTTGACTGGAGGAGTAAGTTATGGGATTTACTTGGAAATCAATTGATTTCACCAACTCTTTTGTTTACTTATTCTGTTTATTTATGGGTTCTTTAGACATAGGTCCATACAACTCGTAATTTTTAAATTAAAACTCATCTATCTTTAAACACCCAATATAAACCCAAAATTCAAATATGTTGCCACATTAGAAATTAAATGGCCTATTACTTCAGATAATTTATAACATATGCCACAACCCCTCTAATGTTTTCTCACACACAACCCTCCATTTTTTGCTTCAATCATGCCCACATAATATGGGCATTAAATTCTAATTACTCCTATTAACGTTTTTTTAGCCACTTTTAAATTTATGTATTTGAAATAAAGTAATATTTTTATATTTTGTAGGTAAACCATTACACACACACACACACACACACACACACACACATATATATATATATATATATATATATATATATATATTCTGTCACATTATTATTATGGTGTGTACGTAACATAATGTACCTGTATTTATATGTAATATATAGGTAAATTAATGTTATGGGTAAATTAATTTGCATGTACTAGTACATATGTTAGGCTTGGATAAAAAAAGTACATATGTTAGACACATTTTATTGTTACCATATGTATGTCTGTGTAAAGTAATTTACCTATATCTATATGTAAAACATAGGTTTTTAATTAACTTTGAATAAAATAGCATTTCTATATGTTGTAGATATATTATTTTACATGTATTAATATATATATATATATATATATATATATATATTGTGACAACCCATCCCTAATTTTATGTTTTTATTAACTTTAAAAGCGTGAATTGACGAAAATACCCTAGAGGTAAGAACTTTGACTTCCGTTGACCATCGTTTAGAGAAACGTATGACTTATTCTATTGGCGTATTTGTGTAGTACTCGATTGTACGAACGCATACGTGAGAGCCGTTTGTTAGTCCAATTAGGTGCTAGCCTATCGTACAGACTGCATTAGGCAGTTCCGACTCGTATGTGACTGGCGCATAACGTCAGCTTCACATGGTCGTAGCACTAGAGCGTTTATTATTACACTTAGCCTGTCGTACATGTCACATTAGGTGACTTCGAATCGTGTGTTAGCATAGTCTGTTGAGCGATAGGTGCAGTCGTACAGGTCACATTAGGTGATTCTGACTGACATGCTAGTATAGATTACTAAGCACATGATCATATCTATTTACTGAATTTACTGTTGAGCTATTCTGTTGTGGCATATTTCTGGACTTACAGTTAGCATGCATTTGATTTTCATACTTATACTTAGTATGATATTTTGGAAACTATATATGTTTTACAGCGAGGGGTTATAACATTTTCGAAAAGGTTTTTATAAGAATTTATTTTCAAGCCTACTCACCCTTATTTTTCGCCCCTCCAAGCTTTAGATGTTGAATGGTTGCATCGACAAGGATTTTTTAGTGAATCCTAGTATTGGTGCCTACTTCTGAGGGTATAATCCTTATCCACTCTACTGTACTTTACTTATGCTCTGATGTCATGTGTGAAATGGGTTCATTCCCGCTCACCAGTGCACTCTTATATTTAGGCACTTTTAGGTTTAAATTTATTCACATTTTCCACATCACTATACTTTATGGATTCGTCACCTTCCAGGTGTCAGCCAACACAGCTCGATTCGGAGTCCTAGTGGACATATCGGGTCGGGGTGTGTCATATATATATATATAAGGCACATTTTGTTATTATATATGTGTGTGTAAAATAATTTAGGGGCTTTTAGATCCAGGTCCAAAAACATAGATGGTTTTTAGGAGTGAGTCTAATTACCTAATTATATGTATTTATTTTTTTAATGCTCATTTTATATTTTCTAAAAATATTAAAAATAAATTAAAATCTTCTAATATTATGAATTTTCAACCTCAAAAAATATAATTAATATCTTATAACAAAAAAATTAATATATTGACATAAATCTATCTGCAAATCATTCTACCCTAACTCAAGTAACAAATATATGAATGTATATCATACCTATAAGTAAGATATGAAACTTAACTAAAAGGGAGAAAAAAACATAATATATCTACAAGCAAGACACATGAATCTTACTTGATTATAAAAAAGAATCTGTCATATAGGTAGATAAATATAATTAACCTATGATATAGGTTGATTATAAAAATAAAAACTAAAATCTATAAATGGGGTTTAAAACGGGATAAAGAACAAGAAAGAACAAAATAAATAAATAATCAAAGAGATAATTAGGAAGAAATTTGATTTTTATAATAAATCTTATCATTTAAGAGATAATTATTGATAATAAAATAATAAGATTTAAGGAATTGGACTATTTCTACTATTGGCTCAAAAAATTGGACCTATATCAAGTTTTTCCAATAATTTACCTATATTTATATGTAAATTATTATTATTATTATTATATGTGTGTGTGTAAAATAATTTACCTATATTTATATGTAAAATAACTTTGAGGCAAATAACATTTCTTTTATGTTGTAGGTAAATTATTCTCCATATATTAGCACAACTATTAGGCACATTTATTGATTCCCCACATATTTATTAAATTACATTATATATATTGTGATTGAATCATAGTATGAATATTAATGCTTATTTCTCTTTTCAAGAATCATTAATCCACCCTTTTAATTGTGTAGGTCAAAAATGTAATTAAGGGTATATTAGGCATTTAAAAAATGTACAATGGCAAAGTCAAACATAGTTAATGAATTTGCTTGTATAGAGCCTAGTCAATAAGTTTTAATCAAGTTAAAAATTATGTCGAATTTTACGTAATGAAAATTGAATTTCAGAGGCTAAAATCATATTTTCAGTTTATTTATTGTATTAGTCCGTTGTGAAATAAGAAAATGTTGGGAGCCTATCTGCACTTTCATTAGGGAAAATATGTTATCAAATAATGTGTTATTTATTTGTAAAATTGATCTCGAGTTGAGTGGTTGACAATCATAAATAGAACGTGATTTTTACACCCTTATTTTTATCTTCTTTTTATCTCGTAGTTTAATAGAGAGAGAAAAATTATTTATTCTTGATGGTAGTAAGCTTCAGTTTGGCATTGCGGTGCTCAATTAAAAAGCAGTTTTTTTTTTTAAATTTTGGATCCTTCTAGCGTTTGGTAAGTGAAAAATAAAACATCTTTTTCTTGAAGCGCGGTGATAAAAAGCAGAAATCAGGAAGCTGCTTTGACCCTGCTTTCAAAAACCGCAGAAAACTGCTTCAAAATGAAGCATGCGAAGCTACAGTGAAGTTTTAATGAAATTTTCTAAAGGCCAATAATACCCTCGCCTTTTTTACTAAAAGGCCATCTTTGTCCCCCATCTCTGTAATGTCCTCCATTTCTCTGTGCTAGACACCGCCGACCCGCCCACCCCGACCACCCCAGCCACCACACCTACCCCCTACTAACACCATGACCACCTCTCCGAACCCACTGGTCATTAATTTTCACCCTTCAAGAACGCAAACCACCATAGCCGCAGCCCACCTCCTGTATTTTCTCTCGAATCCACAACCACTGCGAAATTCAAAACGACTGCTATGGACTCGCCTTCAGCGACGGTGTGGAAAGCCGTCGGATTTGACCGATGACTGGTGAATACTCGCTTTTGTCTTAGGGGGTGATGAAGCCGTAGCCCTTGGTGTGGCTGAACCCCCACACCTTCTCGAATTTTTGAGCTTCGTCAACTCTGAGTCGCTGAACCCTCACACTCCAAACCTTATTATCACCAAATCTGCATATGCTTTTGCTGCAATTACATAATCGAGCCCGGCCAAATTTAGAAAATAAATTATCAAATTTGGGGAGATCATCTTGGTCTCAAGGGTGCTACGGTGGGGGATGGTTGGAGGCGTGGAGAAGGGCCTGGAAGATGTGGAAAGGGGTAGAGGGGGCAGAGAGAAAATTGGATGCTTCTGGAAAGAGTTATATTATGAATAAAAAAAAAATATAACATCTAACATCATACATTTTTCGTTATTTAACATCGTCATAATAGTTTTATATAAAAGTTTACTAAATATTTAAACAATTTATTTTTTATTTTTTTTGTTAAAAGCATTTTTTTCAAAAAAAGTTACCAAATACTCTATTGTTGGTTTTTTTTTTTTACAATTGTTAATTTTGTCAGTACAGCAGAAAGAGTTTTTTAAAAAAGCACAACAATACCAAATCAGCCCTAAGGGTAATCCAGTTCAGGTGAGGATTGGGGGTATTATTTTAGATCATTTTAGCGATTGTTAATGTTGTTTTGTGGCTTCTATTGAGTTGCTTCTTGTATGGAGAGATAGAGTTGGATGAAGTTAATTAATCATGTTTGGATTTAGCTTCGACGACTGTATTTGCAGAGATGAGCTTTATCTATAAGGGCTCATGCCCCTCGTGCTCTTAAAAGAAAACAAGACTTAGGATACATTTTGTTCATAGAATATTTTACTCCATGTGTGATGTATGTGACATATATAATAAAGATTTATTTATGGATGTATTTGACAACAAACGAGCATTGAGTCAAATGAATCGTATTTATATATAACACAATATTCACTTCTTAAATAAAATTCAAACCCTCTTACCTTTTACTTAACCAAAGAGATAAATATATACCACGCCTGGTGGAGAGAGTTATGCACGGGGAGCAGTACGTACCATGTGTTCACATGAATGATGTAGGTACCATACAAAAACTTTCAAATGATTGAGTTAGGGCATGTGAAGATAGAATTGGTAAGATCTATCATGTCATGGGTCCTTACTTGTGTTTGAAACTCAAGTAAACCAATATTTTTGAGGTCACAAAAGTACTGTCAAATTCGATCAATTCACTTATGTAATGTATCTTAAATTATAAACCGATCCACAGCTGGCTAATTTATTGGGGTATTGATTCTTTCTGACTGCCTATCAAATGCTAACTTTGTTTTTTCAATTCTGCAGCCCAAGGCAATCCTAGCAGCCTTGGGG